TATACCTCCTGAAGGCCCGCATTCATGGCATTGGAAAGTATTCGCGACTCTCTTTGTCCGCCATCTTGAATCTCTTGGTTTGTTGTGAAACACAACACTAATCAACACACGCATTCTCATTGGTTAAAACGTGAGTTTCGTGACATCACAGATATCCTAATTTATCGGGATATTCCGGACTGATCACCTCTGAGTTAACCAATCAGAGCGCGCGAAAAGCACTATTTACTTGTGTGGTATATACCAATACATCATAGTCACAGCTTGAAACTGGTTTTCTTTCCACCCTTTCCATTCTTGGCTTGTTGTAGATATCCGTTCATTGTTTTGTACAGCAGAAATGGCAGATGAAAATGTGTCTTGTTCATATGTTTTGTCCTCTGTGTACAGTGTGATGTTAACATAAGCAAAGTGTTTCTATGATACTGTGCTCTTTAGGTGCAAAGACTTCGAGAGAAAATTGTGGAGCAAGAAGCAGAACACATAAAACTTGTGAGTGAGAACAACAAACTGAAGACTGACAAACAAATAACAGTAAGTATAAAAGTCCTTCCTTTTTATTGTTGTTTTGTTATTCAACAAAATTGCTTACAATGTAGATCTCCAATGTTTCACAGTACTTCATAAACAGTAAGAAATGATGTACATGCAGGCAAAAGCTTGCAGTGAATGGATATTATAGAAAAGCAAGCAATCAAGAATATTGCTGTGGCCTTTTTAAACCCATCTCAAATCTTCATAACATGCTAGAAGAGTTGAGGCTACACTCAAAACTCTGGAATGGACAAATTCCAAACACAACTTTATCGCTGAGTGGAGTACACATTTTTCCTACTGACCAATGTATATCCGAAGGTTGGAGCTAGACACGTCAATAGCACCCATGTGTGATTCAATCATTTTATCCCTGGCCTGTTTTGTTTTATCTGTGTCACTAATTCAATGTTGAACTCACCAAATTTTGCTTTTTGATGTGTTTTTTTAGCAAGCATCAATGGAAAGTGAAAATGCCAAGTTAGAACATGAAATAAAGAATGCTTCAAAAAGACTGCGAGGATTAACCTCAAGAATCAAGGAGACCAAACTGGAAATAACCAGTCTAAACAAAAAACTGGAGCAATGGTAAGCAGCTGAACAAAAACTTTGGTCCTTCATTGTAAGAGTAATATATGGAAACTCTGCAAGCAACAGTTTGTACAAAGTGACGTAAGACAAGATTCCAGAAGTTCTTAGGAAGTCTATATTGATTGATGAGAACATGAGAACTCTAAAATAAATCAGCCAGCCAGCCAGCCAGCCAGTCTGTCCATCCGTCCATGCATCAGTCAGTTATTCAATCAATCAAATGTTTCTATGCACTATTTTTCAACACACACACAAAAAAAATACAAAAAACAGTAGAACACAAATGTAGGTTATATAACTAAGAAATGTATCAGTTTTAAAGACGTGAGCAGCAGCCACAGTAGCAGCACTATTGAGTTGGCTGCTTCTTATTCACAGATAAAGGAAAGGAAAATAAAAAGGAAACATAATTTACCTTGAGCAAATACAGAGGAAAGAGATGTGTTACAAAAACTAATAAAAAGCAAATTTGCTCAGATACTATAGGTACAGTACAACTATTATCGGTTATATACAATCCTTTTCACATGTATCTTAGAGAAAAGCAAAGATAGGTAATAGGTTGAAATTTAGGTTTGATGAACAGGTTTTCTACAGTGGACTTGTCTTCTTTCTTTCTGACAGCGCCAAACAAAAAATCAGTGATGAGAAGGCTATCAAGCGGGCAGAACAAGAGATGGGGAAAATAGAAGAGCAAATGAAGGCAAGTTTTAATAAGTTGTATATTACACGCAAATTTAGAAATTGATATTGTGGCCATTTGCTTTCTTTTTATTTTCCGTAAAACGCGATCTTGCTCCTGTCCCCCATCCTCTTCAAAAATTAATCAGTTTAAAGTAACAAAGTGGTCTTAAACTGTCTTTCGTTGTCCATAAATTTTGTAATCTGTGTGTGTCAGTTGCAATAATTACAAACAGTGCAAAACTTGTTCAAATACAAGTGTCATCATTTATTATTATCCCAATTCAGGTAAGCTCACGTTTACCTTGGTACTGCATTACACAAATGAAACCCTTCATATTAATCAATTAACACCATTGTAAATAACATTTGACGTTTTCGTTATGTAAACCTTACTTTATATTCTTCTTTTAGTATCACCCTACTAGTGGACCAATGCAAATCCTGCATTTTAATTGGTTACGCTACCAGAGGACTATTAGTAATAGTCCTCGAGTAGCGAAACTGGCGCAATCGAGTGTGACGCTTTCTTTCGTTTTATTCCCAAATGAATATTTCTTCAACTTGCATTTGCTAACGTTATTATTGCCTTTTCTGTCCGACTGGTTGGGTGATTCTAAAACAATTAGACCCTACATCTCGTCCAAAGTGGTTCACAACACTTGATTTTACTCTGCTTTCTGTAGTTCTGAAATCTGAAGCTTTTCTCGAGTTTCCAGAACTTGCCATGTTGCCCTGCAAATTCATTGCATAGTTCACCAGTGCCCATTTTCAATCCTAGCTAAAGAAAACCACTGTGGGAGTAAACTGTCTTATAACATGGATGTGTTAATGATTAGGTTTCAAAGGAGGAAACAAAGAAAGTTGAAGTTCTACACAACAACCTTACAGAGACACTGGTTGTGAAGAAAGAAGAAGTGATGGGTGTTGAAGAATCACTGAAGACTACCGCTGACGCACTCAAGAAACAACTCAAAGACGAGGCACACGCCAGGACAGTGTTACAGGTTAGTCAGGCCTTCACTTCACATCACTGACGCCACTGCGACCACCACAATTAGCTTTCTCAAAGCTAAATTTTGTTGATGCTCAAATAAATTTCATGTTATGTTACGTAACGTTACTTTGCGTTGCGTTGCGTTACGTTGCGTTACGTTACTGAAGCCCGAGGGAAGTACTCCCTTAAATGGTCCACATGAGGCCATTTAGAAACAGGGTCTGAACCTGTCCTGAACAGGGTATAGTTACTTTTCAGTCGTGATAAAAGTATGCATGTATTTTTGTCTTCTCAGGCGAGGATCACATCAGATACACACGACCTTGCCAAGACACATGTTGACTCCAAGAAGAAGCGTGAAAAAGTGAGTCTTTTGTGGTTTCAAGATTTTCATAGTTTGGTAAAAAGGTATATTGTTTTGAAACGCATAAAACTTCTCTAACAAATTATATTTCGTTTCGTTTCACAGGCTACCCAGAGGGCAGACGAAATAGTAAAGCTTGTAGACCATGTTAGAGATCAGGTTTAATATGATTTCTGTACTGCATTGCATTGCCAGAAAGACAGACAAACAGACCAACAGACAGACCGACTGACTAACCTACCGAACGACCGACTGACCGACCCACTGACCGACTGACCAACTGTCTGACTGACTGACTGACTGACTGACTGACTGACTGACTGACTGACTGACTGACTGACTGACTGACTGACTGACTGACTGACTGACTGACTGACTGACTGACTGACTGAATAAATGAATGACTGGCCGAGTGTCTGACAGAGTGACTAACTGACTGACAGAGGGAAGAATTGACTGATCGACTGACCTATTGATTGATTTGACAATTAGTATATTTCCGTCTATTTTCTAGGTATCGAAGCTGGAAAAGATTCACAATGAGAGACAAGAGGTAAACTTTTAAAAAGGTTTTTTAATGTGAATTTAAATTTGAATCGACAGGTAATCATTCTTGTACAGTCAACGAGTTGATAATTATTTCTCATTTTAGTTTTACGTCAATGAATGGCTTGACCATCTTTAAGTTTACCTGGAATACTGGAGATAACATTATTTTCCATTTTTCTGGTAATGATGATTATGGATTTTCCGAATTCGCAGTCAATGATTTAGGTTATTTTCTTGACCAACTTAGACCATCGCACAACTTGACAAGATATTGGAGAAAGTGGCCCAGCAGCACAATGACATGGAGACTAAATTTCAGAGTGAAATCGCTGAATTGCGGCCCAAAGAGGCAGAGTTGAAGGTTTGCACAGTTTATCTGTTTATTACGAACCTCTCCACAACGGCCACCTTAAGGACAGAAGAAAGTGGCTTTTGTAGGGAGGTGGCATATATGGGGAGTTAGGGTTGTACTTTGACACCCGTTTTTTTTCGGGTGATACAACAGTTTTATTTCTTAAATAATTCGAAAATTGTAGCACAGAAATACGTAACACAGTCAAGAAGCAGGGCTGTCATTAAGGGCCGTAAGCCGTAACACCTGTTTCGGCTGAGTATGCTTGATTTTCCCTTGATGCTACGGGTTAAATTCCCTGTTGTTTAGAGAATTCACCCACAAAGTAACAAATTTTCTATGGGTGTGGAGAATATATAAGGCTACAGGTGACTAAACAATTAATGACAGCCCTGAAGAAGTAGATGTATGTACCATCCGTCGAGACAACAAAACAGTGGCTGTTACTTAGTGGAGGTTCAACTGTACTCTCTAAAAAAGCAGATTAATTGGTGTTTTTCCAAGCTCGTACGACTGCACATGTACAAAAGCTGAGTATTTCATGCTTGTTTGGCAAATAATTTATTGATTACTTTGTTGCAGAAAGAGACTATGGAATTCACCAAACGTTTAGACCACATCACGTGGAAATCAGAGATGATGGAGAAGAAAATGGCGGACATTGAGTCTTCTACCCAAATGATGAATAAAGTCATAGCCACAACACAAGAGAATATCAATGATTTGACGTGAGTGCGGTGCCATGTTGCTTACTTTTAAAATTTCCATTCGCATTGTATTGCATCGCATTGATTGCATTCATTCATTCATTCATTCATTCATTTATTCATAATCATTAAACAGTTAAAAAAGAAATAAAAGTTTTAAAACTTAACTAGTGAGCAGAAAGGACTTGAAGTGTGCAAGCCGATTTCAAAAAAATTCATGAATTTTAAAATGGTTATTTTTCAGTGAGGAAATGACTGAATTAAAGATACAGATAGAGACAGGTTTTGAAACTGAACAAGACTTGAAGAAATCACTCCAACAACTCGAAGGTATTTATCACTTTAGAATCGCCTGTGGTGACCTCTATCACAGTATGACTGTTTTCTATTACCTACGCTTATCTCAGCCTCGCTTTGCCAGTGACGAGACGCCAGGCAATGTGATCAGCGGCAATAAGAATTACATATCACGCTGACGTGTTTGTCAAGCACCATGCCTCGCTTCTCTGTGGACGTCCAAGTTTTTTGATATGCACTTTATGCGAGGTTGTGCAAGATAGGATATTTATGTGATACCGTGATGTTTGTGTTGTTTTATTTAGAGAGAATCAGACGCGGAAAAGATAACCACGAGATGCACATACTAGAAAGGAACGAGGTCTTAACTACCAACCAGGTAACGTAAGCCGAAAACTTTCACCTCTCGTCAACAGTGAGATTTGTGGTGTTGGGAGATCTAGGCGTTAAATAAGCATTCTGTTCTTAGCGGTAGATAGTGCACAACAATTGTATTCTTATGAATCATTATTTCTTTAAGGAGCAATAAGCAATTTTCGAGTTGCTTTTTACCTCTGTTTCAAAACGAGTCCTGGCCCCAATTGTTCGAAGGCTGGATGACGCTCTCCACCAAATAAATCACTATGATGTATCCAGTACATAAATGTTAACAAAACAAACCACGCTATCCGAAGGATAGTGATTTATCCAGTGGATAGCGAACAACCCAGGCCTGGTGCACAACCTTTCATATGGAAATGAGTTTGATTTGCAAGACAATGAACGTGCAAGAAAAACTCATTTCAATATGAAAGGTTGTGCACCAAGACTCGTTTTGAAACAGAGGTAAGCGCAAATCGGAAATGGCCTATTGCGTTCTTATGTATCATTATTTCTCCAAGTAATAACTTGTCTGTGTGTTCCTTCTCTTAGGGAGGCGTGAAAACAGCATTGAGTGAAAACAAGAAACTGGCGGTAGTTTACCAAAGGTTACAGAACACTTTGCTTAACAACAGAGCTGCGTTGCTGAGACTTGTTGAGAGAAGAGTGAACAATGAACACAGCCTAAAGGATCACAGAGAGGTTAGCTTACTCCACGTAACTTTACTGTGTCAATCGCAACAAACGCGAATAATTAGCAGTCACTCGTGCTGATCTATTTCCAGATCCACGAATCTTGATGGTTCTCTCGTCATTAACTATTTAACAATTAGATTATTCACTCTCAATTTCTATTTTAGCAAGATTTTCCTAAAACCTTTTTGTTAAGTAAAGTTTTCTGAGTTGGCTGATACGACGCCTTGTGTCCAGCACTAGAGTACATGTCAGCAGTTTTCAATAGTTCAGCGTCAGCCCCAAAAATAGACGATCTTATAGAAAACACGCAAGCCGTCCAACTTCAAATAAGTTAAAATATTTAGAGAGCAAGCCACATCAGCCTTAGCTGGTTTTCATGCAGATCCTCTTTCCTGGTCAAATTGGAATTTGGAGAGTTTTGTGGAGGAAGGAAAACCGGAGAACCCGGAGAAAAACCCTCGGGGCAAGGCAAGAACCAGCAACAAACTCAACCCTCTTAAGATACCGGACCGGAATCGAAGCCGGGCCACATTGGTGGGAGGCAAGCGCTCTCACCACTGCGCCATCCCTGCTCCCTCGATAAACGTTTTCTAATGATAAACTCTTTCGAGTGACCTTAGTAAAGATTAATTTGTGCTTTTTTTTCCAGCTGTTTGTTCTTCAAGGTCGCATGCGTGAGGCTCTCGAGTATTTCTATCGTCTTCGTGGCTTACAAAGCAAAGCAGACATTGCCGAGTTCGAGCTGAAGTGTATTGACAATGGCGACAAATTAGTAACCCTACAGTCTGACATGATGAGAGTTATCGAACACATTAACCGTTTCCTGGAGGCAAATAATGCCGCTCATGATGTGATTTCAATGGAGGCTGCAAAGATCGCACAGACCCCAACCAGCGGCACTATGGTCGCTTGAAATCACGACTTTGCTTAATACTAACGTAACGTCTGAAGAAAACGGATCGAAAAATAGAAGAGAAATAAAAAAATATTTAGATACACAGGAAGGGCATATAAGTAATTAACGTTTAACTCCTAGAGTGCCAAGCTACAAATTTGACAAATTTTCTAACAATTTTACTTGAGAAGAACTTGGCAGCAGGAAAGTAACTCTTGATAGCTCTCATTTACATGTAAATGGTAACGCGTTAGGATTTTATTTACAGTCGGAACTAGATCGTGAAAGCTTCACATTACATAACGAAAGGTGTGGCTAGAAAATCGATAGAAAAGAATGGATTTTGTATGCGTTATGTAGCGCATACTTTTGCATTTGTTCAGTCATATTTTTGATCAACTTGTTGACCATGTTACAGCCTGTGACCAACAGTAAGATGATTCACCTTTGTCTGAAAATTATGTCGCTGTATTTTAGAAACGTCAATGTATATAGGATGTCGTGTACATATGCTATTATTTATAAACAGGACACACTTTTGCGTTTTGTTAAGAGAAGCAAAATGACAAAACGCTAAAATAAAGGATATTTTTAAAACTGTCTCAGCATTGTGTAAAGTGTTATTAAAGAAAGGATATCATAGCCTTGGCAGTGTTCGGTCTTGGCATAATTTTTTTACCGTGTTACTTCTCGTTTTCTTCCTCAAAAATACTCCACTATGCGTTTAGAAATGTGGGAAAACACTGCCTCTCGTATTTGACTGACATGTGACTTGAACCTCTCCTTACAGACACTTCTTTATTTTTTTCTCCAGCATCTGATCGGGCCGGAATCCTAAATCCTCGAATTTGATTGGCTCAAGTAATCATACGCACGTGACCGCTCCAGCTTTTTACGATACGGCCCACGGGCAGCCACGGGCCGGATTTTTTTCCCGCTGCCTAAATTTCGCTCCTAAAAGTTAGCGGTAATCGTCAATCTTTTGCCTTTTTTACACATCCGTCGA